ACCCACACCCACCCACACCCACACCCACACCCACACCCACACCCACACCCTTTCACTCTCCGACTATATGAGTTAAATAGACCTTTCATTTCAATATATTCATCAAATATTTCAAAAACTGCCTAGGCACACTAACAGGCCATTTTATGTCCCGACAGGATGTGGGTGTATAGTGTGGGCAAGCGTGGAAAAGGGAGACTTCCTACTTCACATACTTCACTTGTACTTCATTTTTACTTCAGAAGTACGAAGTCTCGCTTTTTCCCTTTGGATGTGGGCGTGTGCGGGTGTATGTATTGTCTTCATACGCAGTAAAACCACACCCACACCCACACCCCACGACCACACCCACACCCCACGACCACACATACCCTACACCCACACTCACACCCGCACCCCACACCCATAAATCACAGTCTGATGTGAGTAGATGAAAAGGAGTCCTCTGTCTCACTACTAAACTGTCTTCTTTATACGTTTTAACATGAACGACGACTGAAAGTCTAGGCTCAATCAAAAAGACTTGTCTTTAGAAATAAAATAAATAGAATAATATTTATTAGTCAATATAGAAAAAAAAAGAGTTAGGGCCATATGGCATTGCTTCCTACCAATTGTCAACGCCACTGACGTCATCTATCAGCTTTTCCAATTGTCGGAGATTGTCAGGTGCACCGTGATAGTCTTCCACACTCTTTTCATAACTGTTGATACGAAGACGAACATAGGTTGTTGGCAGATCGGCTATTTGCGCCATAAATTCTTGAATTCTTCCGTTTGGCTCGACCAAAATGGATCGTGTCATTCTGTATTGATCTTTGAGCCAGAAGAAATCAATTTCATAAAACTTGCGAAGTAATTCCACCACATCATCCTTTGGAATTTGCTTTTTCAAGTGTCCTTTGATTTTGACAAACTCGCGTCCCTCGTAGATCATTGATCCATTACCCTGAATAATCAGCGAATAAGCAGGACATCCGAAAAAACAATTAGTACGTTCTAATGAGAGCGTAACATCTTTCAAGAAATATTCTTTTGGCAGTTGTGTTAGTTTTAGTTGATTACCGTCGACAATAAAGAAAGTAATTGTCAGAAGAATACAGAGCAACTTCATTTTTGTGTTGGTGATGCGATGAAGTATGTATTAGAAAATTTGGAATAAAGAACAGACAATATTGCTGATATTTTTCTGTGTATAATGTAATCTTTTGTTGATGTGACTTTGAAAATGATCTCAACCTTACCTTTTTATCATAATTCAGAATGTAATCCGTAAAGAAAACACTGTTGCATATGTAAATCATGCCGATTACTCATAGGTAATCCATTTGTCAATAAAATATCGATTTGCCGACTCTAATCGTCCGAACATAAGCCCTTTCTTTGTTTGATGCTTACATGTTTCAAAAATGTTTTTAACATCTATCAGTTTATATAAAATGCATCTCTCTTGAAATGTACCGATGGTTCTACCTCTGTGCCTAGTATCGATAAGTTTTTTTTGTGATGACTAAAGACTCTATGGTCATTCTGAGTTAAATCGGAATTCCAAATTAGGAGTGGCCCTTTATCTTTACTATCATTTATAATAAACTATAAAGATAAATGAATTCTTTATATTTATTTACTAAAGATAGTTATATTATTTATCTTTTATAAAATAAAGGATGGGCGTGAGGTGTGGGGTGTGAGTGTGGTTGGGTAGGGGTAGGTGTTATTGTTGATTCACACTCACAGTCACAGTCACACGCACACTCACACCCTTCTAATTTCAATTACATCGTATTGATAGAAGTTCTATAGAAAACTCGCATGAGGATTTCTCTTCTACTTTTGAATGTTTGTTCTTTTTAATCGTTTTTGTTTTTAATTCCTTAAGAACAAAAATAAATAAACATAACTTGAAGAGATTTATTTTATTATTATTTTTTTCTTATAGTTAAACAAATGATTTATACAAAAAAAACCGAAGTGTATATTTATAGATATAAAAGTTGCCTTCTTTTTTTACTTAAACGAACCACATCGTATCCTGTATATCATTATTAAGTATCATCACTTTCGTTTGTATATCTTCGAGTGAGATTGCTTCCGATGGATTTTTATCATCCTCACTAAAAACAGTAGAAATAAGAAATTAGATAAATACTCATTATAATAATTTCTTTTTACTTTTCCGGATTTTCATCCTCGCTATGATCGAATTCATAGGCATTGGAAGCATACGCAGCTAAATGAGCATAATGTACTGGAGCTGGAATTGAAACTGATTTCGAACATCGAACATCTGTATGACAAAGCTATATAAAAATAAAAAACAATATCTATCATTTTCTATTGATTGAAAATTTTCGACAAAAATAACAACTTCATACCCAATATGTTAACTGTTGAATATCATCACTACTAAATCCATTTTCATCATGGAGCACATGATAAAGTGCTGGACGTGATGTTCCCATTCTTTTCAATAGAAAAAAAAGCATATCGATATTACGATGTAAAAATTCAGAAAACTTACATAGCAGCTTGTGAAAATAAGTAAAAATCAAATTGCGATGGGTGTGTTATATGAAGATCAACAACAGTACCCGCTTCAACATTGCCTGTCCGTTGACCATCATAGGTGAAGAAACGTGTATTATGTCGTTTTTTAACAATGATAAATGTTAATCTAGGAAGTGGATGTTGTCCATACACCGCTATTTTCAATAGAAGAATATATTTTTTTGTTTGTTCATTGAGTAAAAAGAAATGTTTCTTTTTCTGTTTACCTTGACAAGCAGATTTTATTTTATTAACTTCATTATCGAATACTTTTTGAAATTGTCCATCATCAACACCATCACGATAAAAAATTATTCGGTTTGGTAATGTATTACCACATGAACGAGCATATACTCGAAGTAAATCGATAACCATCTTATCCATGTCTTTGATAATCTCAATTGAACAACGGTTTTTCTTTGGATATTCTAAAATTATAAAGATAATTCTTGTCCGAACGAATATTCGACCAAAAATATTTACGTTCACAAAGACGAGCCGCATAACGGCTACATGTCGGATCACATGATCCAACAATGGCAGCAATCGATGGTTTTTCTTTTGAAGATGTAGTATGAGTGACCTAGAACAATAAAAATATGTATTTATCGAGAGTGAGTAACTTTGATGAGTTCAAAAACATAAATATTTACATCAGCACCGAAAAACATGAAACGATCATTATGTGATGCTTGACTTAGAGCAGTTTTCAAATTAATGATGCCATTGATACCACCAATTTTTGCATTGAGTTTCTGACTTAAATTTTCTACATCTAAAAAATAAAATTTTCTATCATCAATAAGCCTTATTAGAAAAAAATACAATCACATACACATATGAATAGGAATGCAACGGTGACGATAACCGTAGCTACGGTTACCGTAGTTGGACCAGCAACCGTACCTACGGTTATCGTAGTTCGACCGGTAACCGTACCTACGATTACCGTAGGTACGGTTACCGGTCGAACTACGATAATCGTAGGTACGGTTGCCGGTCCGACTACGGTAATCATACCTACGGTTATCGGTCCAACTATTATAACAGAGCTTACCTACGGTTATGGGTCCAATTACTATAACAGACCAGACATGGAACCGGTATACCGTTCTCCAGACAGGGTGCGGTGTGGGTGTGGGGTGTGGGGTGTGGGTGTGGGGTGTGGGGTGTGGGGGTGGGTGTGGGTGTGGGTGTGGGTGTGTGGGTGGGTGTGGGTGTGAGTGTGGGTGTGTGGGTGCGGGTGGGTGGGGTGTGGGTGTGTTTCGTTTCGTTTCGTTTCTTTTCTTTTTTTTCACACCAACACCCACACCCTCAAGATGATTCCAACAACGATAAGAAGATTGATAAGCCATCAATTTACTAACATGAAAAAAAAACAGGGCATCGAATGAACTGGAGTAATTTTCAATTAGTATGGCAAGACAATCATTATTATCACTTGTTGATTAAAGAATCACTATTGATCAAGGCTTATGAACCTGAGCTTAACAAAACAACACACTCGGTACCATTAGTTGTCTTTGCTGATGGTTTACCAAAAGTTCAGTTACCTAACCTCGATCAATAGTGGTTATTATAGAGTCGTTTAAATAATGTTGTTTCTCTCTCATTTCACTTTTATCTTACTTTCTTTGTCTCTTGTCTTTTCTTTTCTTATTCATTGTACAACTTTCCTAAATATCTTAATAAATCTTGATAATGATGTCTTGGATCATCGAAACGTCGAACTATCCTCTTTCTGTCTTTCGTTACGAAGAAAATATTTTTTCACAAATGTTATACAAAGCCGCTGTTATTTTTTCATTTATTATGAAGTAAATAATCGACATGGGCCAATAGAGCGATCGATTTTAAGACTAAAAGATTAAAACAATAGCAACAGATTCATTGTTTTTTTTATTAATCTTTTCTGCAAATATCAGTTTTGAAATCTTTATTTTGGTATAGGTAATCTTGTGTTGTATTCAATCTAATTTTGCATTCGATTCATGATCGATGAGTGTCGTACAAAAGATAAAATATTTCACGGCAAGCATTATAACTGGCATTGTTCTACAACTTATTTATCTTCCGTTTTCCACCACAGCAACGATAATATTAAGAGATCGAGTAGAAGGCAAGCAAGTTCTTGATTCTCCATACGTTAATTCTATTCAAATAAATGAAGTCATGGCACATCTTAATGAACTACAGCGTATTGCTACTGCTACAAATGGAACACGAGCATTCAACACATCAGGATTCAATCATACACTTGACTATGTGACAAACTATCTATCGGCTAATACAAATTTAAAAATTACAAAGAACATGTTTTCTGTTAGCTATTTTACTCTCGAAAGCAATCCCGTTTTACTGTCATCCCTCAATGGCAAAATTACGAATCATACGTACTCAAAAAACCGTTTTCTAGCTGAGTTTCTAGAGGTCACATTTTCATCGTCCGTCAATTTTTCTAATTTTATTACACTTACCGCTATTCCCAATGCCAGTTGTTCTGATGCTGATTGGCTTGCAGCAAAGCCATCGGCAACTCATCGTATAGCATTGGTCAAGCGGGGTGATTGTGCTGTCGCTGACAAAGGCATACTTGCAGCAAAGTACAATGTGGCCGGTCTTCTGTTTTACAATGACGGCAAAACATCTGATCGAATGTTACCTACATTAGAGAGACTTGGAGAAAATAATAGTTTACCAGCATTATTTCTTTCTTTCGATCTTGGCGAAAAGTTGGCTAATGCAGCTCGTAACTCATCGTTTACCATTGCTGTTCGTTTCGTTATCCCTGTTGCCATTGAAAATGTAATTCCTGTCAATAATATTTGTGCAGATACTCCTACGGGTGACCCTACTCAGACAATTTTGATTGGAAGTCATGCTGACAGTGTACCCACTGGACCAGACATAAATGACAATGGTGAGTGAGGAACATTGAAAAGAAAACTTGAAAGCTATGATAATATTTAAAAACAAGACAAACGACGTAGGCTTACTCACAAAAGGAATGACAATAGAAGTAATGAACCACATGAAATGAAAAACTAATGTTAACCTTTAGGTTTGAACTGTTCTGGAACCTATCAATAAAGGTTCTTAAAATTTTTATTACTACAGCTAACTAGTTAGAAAACAAGTGTGTAGAGTAATTCTTTCGAAAACGTACTAGAGTTTACATCGACTTTCTCCGAATTGAATGAAGCTTTCAACATTTGTACAACTTGCATCTGTATGAATAGCACGGGGATTAAAAGAAATTCAAAACCTAGCAAAGAGGTCAAAACGGGAGCCCAAGATCCCATTTCCTAGCAAAAGTGGGTCTTGCCTAACTTTTTTATTTAAAATAATAGTAGCCTGAAAATTTTACCATAAATGTTACTCGTTAAGGTGATTATTTTTTGTAGCAGACATCTTTTCCTCCCGTGTTCTGTTTTTTGGAAAAATCCTACCGAAAATGCTAATATTTTAGGTATGTTCGAACTGCGATAGTTTCATGAAGCCAGAATGGAATTTTGACTTGTATTAGTATTTTAGAATCATCTAATTATTCTCTATCTAATGATGAAACTCTCAAGTCTATAACTTGTTCCTGGACTAAATGGGAAAGTCATTTTTAAGACGAATTTGCAGGTTTTTAGCAACTTTGAACCTCTTCCAGAAAAAACCACAGGATTTTCAGAATGCACCATATAGCGAAAGTTGACTAGCATACTTAGTTCTACCATTTCAGAAACTTTCGTTTTTGGTCAATGAGATTTGGCTAAGAAAAATAACCTCGAAGTTACAAAAAATCATGCTTTTTCACCTAAGCAATTTCGTCGAGAATCTTCTGTTTTATACAAAAGTGTGAATAGCCAAGCTGAAACTTTCAGCGGTTATAAACGGTTTAACATTCTAAGACTTTCAGTAGAAAAATCTTATGGACTTTGAATCGGTATCATAGTTTTTTTTTTTGAGACCGTGATATATGACCTTTCACTCTACAATAAGTATCTACTTCACTTTTCATAATTTTGAAAAATTGACTTTCTTTCATAACAGCTAACTATAACTTGAATTTTATACATAAGTGTATAGTACTAAGCTACTAGTATACATGTATTACTAAATTAGTTTATTCCTACCACTAGTTTAGGATTGGTTCAATACGAGATTATGCAAAACATGCAAGGAGAGGAAAAACAGCCAATTTTTGTATAAATCATTCTCTATCGTAGGATCATTATCAACAATTCATTGTACTTTCATAAAGTATCCAAATCTAATAACTATTCATAACTATAATAATCAAAGACTGAATGAGTTCCTATTGGTAGATGAGACAGTACCCCTGGTTAGTTTAGAGTGTCATTCAGTGAAAATACGACATATCCTGATAAATATTTCCCTCTTATGCGGAATTTTGAAATATTTCTAATGATATTGTGGCAAAGCACCATCATTGTTGTACATGCTCTATAGTGACATCTCGTTCCAAGCTCCAATGTCTTGCAATAAAATGACTTCAAAAATCAGATTTTCTCAGCATTTTGCATGCCAGTGTTTTGTACGCATAAAAACGTGCATTTTTTTATAATTTCGAGGTCATTTTTCTTAGCCATATCTCATTGACCAAAAACGAAAGTTTCTGAAATGGTAGAACTAAGTATGCTAGTCAACTTTCGCTATGTGGTACATTCTGAAAATCCCGTGGTTTTTTTCTGGAAGAGGTTCAAAGTTGCTAAAAAACTGCAAATTCCTCTCAAAGATGACTTTTCCATTTAGTCCAGGAACAAGCTATAGACTTGAGAGTTTTACCATTAGATAGAGAATAAGTGCTATTCATACACACGCACGTTGTACAAATGCTGAAAGGTTCATTCAATTCGGAGAAAGTCGATGTAAACTCTAGTACGTTTTCGAAAGAATTGCCATGTAGAAAACTTCTTGTTAATGTTTTCATAATTATTTTTGAATCAAAGACAAGCATCATGATTGTTTTTAAGATTGCTGATTAGTTCTTATCTGGTTCATTTGAGTATGAATACATGTTACTGTGCTAATGTTGAAAATCTGTAAAGATCCTTCTATGTAGTTCTTGTACAGTATAATCATTTGCACTTGTGATTGACTGCACGAAAAAAAACAGTTATTTTATCAACCATGTATTCATCTTCAAAATAGAAGATTATCGTAGAACAGCTCTATGCTGAAAATTGATTGATAATTATCTCATGATTTCAAGTATTATTTATCATCTATTAGTACACATATGTGAATAATGGCAACTAGAGATCACTGATTGAATATAATCCTAAGCCGCGAAAGAGAATCACTTAGTCGCTTTATTTACTCTGTGGAACTCTATATCAGTTTTTTAATTTTTCAAAGGAAGTGGTACTGCAGCTAATCTTGCTTTTGCTGTGGTTCTTGCACGTCTCTTCCGAACATCTACTTATCCGAAATATAAGTATCGTGTATGGTTTTGTTGGCGGGGTGCAGAAGAAATAGGTGCGCTTGGTTCAAATTTTCATGTCACACAGGCTCGAAAGTCGACTATTCTTGGTGAACGTATCACTGATTATCTGGTCAACCTTAATTTCGACATGCTTGGCTCACCAAATTTTAAGTTCGGCATTTATGATGGTCGAACAATAAGAAATAATACTCCACCATCGGCCATTCCAGGTAGTGTGAGGATTTCTGCATTGTTTCGTGATTGGTTTATACGACATGAACTGCCTTGGGACTTTGCTGACATTGATGGTCGTGGTGATTATAGTTCATTTCTAGCATCAGGTATAGCTATCGGTGGTCTCATTTCTGGCGTTGACGACATTAAAAGTCAAGAGCAACGTGATCGTTACGATCGATTGCTTGGCCAGGGTCTTGGCGGCCTTGCTAATGTCGTTCACGATCCATGTTATCACAAAGTTTGTGACACTATTCAAAATATTAACTTATTTGGCTACGAGAAGATGGTACAAGCCGCTGCATTTGTTATTGAGAGTTTGGCTCGGCTACCAGATTTGAAAAGTTGGTTGTATCCAATAAATGAAATTTAGCATTTAGATTTCATTGATAACAATATCGAAAATACGTGACACTCGATGAAACTATACTTTGAAATAATCTAATAATAGGTTTTATCCTTTTTCATATTTGCAATATATTTCTTATCCCGTTCTAAAAAGACTATTGCTATATGAAGAAAGCATAGTGAAGTCCGTCTATTTTCCTATATAGATATTTGTTTGCCGGCAATCGATCACTAAAGTTGAAGTAACAAATATTCATTATGAAGATATTGAAACAGATTCATGTATATATGGAAAAAATGTTCGATTGAAACTGAAGAATGTTGAAGAAGTTAGTTTTATTTTTTATTTTTGTTATATATGTGTTGATAAATATGAATTTGTAGAAAATATCTTCTGAATTTATATTATGTGATAGTGAACAAGAACCATGTGGTGTTGAAAGAATATTTGATGCATAGGTAAAACAACATGATAACTAATTAAGTTTATTAATTTTCTCTACTTAGCAGTTAACTATAATTGAACACACATCTATAATATGTCCTAGTTATTAGGCTGTTCTTCATATTTACACTACGTGACGATGGTCGCACTGTTGCAATTGGCAAAATTCTTAAAATAATCGAGTAAAAATTTTATTTATTTTTTCATCTTTTTATTTCAATTAATAAGGTCGTAATTTTCTTTTATGTGATACAAATATAAAAACATGTTCGAATAAAATAATATCTCTGTTAGCACAAGAAGTAATGCTTTATTTGATAGACTTTATTGGTTGACATGAGGTGGCTTTTTTTTTACATTATCATGTGGTTACTTTTTTCTTTCCTGTCAGATAAAAAGCATCATATATAATGGTGGTTGTTGCAAAAAAAAATATTTATTTTGTTACGTTTCGGTGTAATAATGATAGAGCAGGTTTATTATTTCAATCCATCTTTAAGCGATGCTAGTTTTGCGTTATCTTGTAAAAATGTTCTTTCTAAACTGGTTCGTCCGGATCGATCAATAATTGACCAGATTCTTGAGCATGATTCTCCTGACAAAGCAGATATTGTTTTGCCTGATGGACGAAAGTTTGTTTGGTATTTTGCTATTGGTAGTATGATAAATCCTATTTCGATTTATCTTCGTGATATAATACCATTAATGTCATATCCAGCAAAATGTCCGAATCATAAAATTGTTTTTCGAGCACCAAATGGAATGGCTGATATTGAAGCTTGTCCTGAAGCTGAATTTCATGGAGTTATTCATCTTCTTTCTGACGAACAAATGAGCCGTTTAGATGCAATTGAAGCTACGTATCATCGAATTATTATTAATTCAAGTAATTATCAAGAACAAAATCATCTTGTTTACGTGTATAAAAGGATTGTAGAAAATCAACTTATATGTCCTCCAAGTGAACGTTATTTAGATATTATAATAAAAGGTTGTGACTATTATAAAGTTCAATCAGCATATATAAATCGATTAAAATATGAACAAGAAGTAGTACCTCGAAAACAACCTCATACATTTCAATCATTTACAGATATTCCTGAAGATGTATTCTATTCTGTAGAAGAACTTGCACAACATGATGGCAACGATCCTGGACTACCATTATGGTTAAGCATCAATGGAAAAATCTTAGAATATAGTGGATTACCACCTGTTGATCATCCTGATTACGAACTTCAATATCGATTTTATCCATTTTTCAAATCAAGATGTGGTGGACGTGAAGCAACATATGTCATGGCTCGAACAATGTACGAGCCGTTATATGTAATATCATCAAATGACAATGATTTGTGTGTACAACATCGAGCAGCAATTGAAGATGAGTTTTATCATCGAATAAATTATGTTCAAAATAAAAAGTATTGGAAACTAATAGGACGTCTTCGTGTAACAAATAGTTCATTGTAGACTTGAATATTTCTATTTTTAATAAAGCTTCTTTAATCACCATATATAGAGCATATTAACTTGTGTTTTGTTTTTAAAGCATTTTCTAGAGAGAAAAACTATTTAGAAGTGTCTATTTTCTCATAATGGGAAGTAAAACAGCTACATGCTTGTTTATAATTGACGACTGATTAAAATTTTAATTACACTTACATAAATTTACTTGTATAAGTCCGATTAAATATGATAACTTTGTACCATTCAAGATTTGAATTTTTTGAACCTTTTCAAATATCTTTCTGCATAATTTTTTTTAAAATCAATATTCAAATTCTGTGTTCTAAATAAACCAAATATAATAGACAAATTTTATTGATTTTTCTTCGTTTATCTTTGTTTTTCAAAAATAAACTTCTCTATAATCTTTATCTTTTATATAAAGCAAATGTAAAAATAAGTGTACGTCAGTACTGCACAATAACTTTTAAATCATTCTGAGTCGTATAGCATTTTATATGATTAGAAAATAGAAAATGACTTAATAAATTTTACATCTTTGAGAAACATTTGACAAATAGGGGTGTGAAGTGTCATCGCATGCGGACGCCTATTGCTAATAGATGCTGTCGCATTGAATGGGATATGACAAAAAGAATTACAAAGCTACATGAGAAATGCCATTAAACGATCATCATACAAATCCAGCAGCAAATCTGAATCAAATATTTAGAGTGTATGTATTACTATTTTGTTTTGCACTGTTTTCTTTCCTTTTTCCTTGATATTTAAATTTCAAGCTATGTTTTTCCCGACCCAAACCTCTTATTTTTGTGTGCGTAAATGTGAACGACAACACTATTAAAATGATTGGCTTGCATCTTTCTTCTCATCGACACTTAGTTGCTAAGGCCTGTAATAGACAACGAAAAGTCGCAAGAATACAATCAGAGAAGGACGAATCTTCGCCACATTATTCACGAATCAAATGATGGTGATTCAGCAAGAGTAAGATATTATTTCTATCCAAATAATTAAATAGAATCAGAGCTCAACTGAACTTTCTAATTTGAACCAAAACAACATCTTATGAGAGGAAAATACTACGTTACGTGACCAATTCAAAATATTACAACTATCCCATATCGTAAATACTGCATAGTTTTTAGTGGTAAACTGTGATCTTCATCAAAAGTGACGGTTTACCGCGGCAAAGTATATGAACAGAAGCCGGTAACCAAACTAGTAAAAATCGTGGTCAACCATCGGTTTACTTTCAGTTCTTATCACATGGAACGAATGAGCCAACAGCAAACAGATTTTGCCTGACATTCGGAAAATACCCTTGATCCATTTGACTTAGTGGCACAAGTAAATGATTTGAAAAACAGAAGAAATCATCAATTTCAAAAAGGAAGAACCATTTTAAGTAGAACATAATAAATTACTTAAATTGTAATGTGTAGTTTTCTCTTAGACTTGATTATCTATAATATGTAATTTCTACTTTTCTTTTATTCTTATATTTTTAATTAGTTGTATTCCATACAGATTTTGTTCTGTTGTTTGAAATAAAGAATGCTGTGATGAAAGGCATACAATTGACACTTACTATATGACAAAGGATGTGTAATAAATTCTGATCCTCTTTAAGTCATATTCTTTTCTTTCATCTTTTTTTAGTAGAATGGACTGACATTTGCAGCAATGGTATACTAGATATCTACATCTACAATACACTAGAATTTCAGCTTTCTATCTCCTAATGTCACAGAGATACAAGTAACTTAAAATTCATAGAAATTTTTCAATAAGTTTTGTATTTTATTTTCTTATCATCTAATACGTTATATTAACAAACGATATGTACCGTAAGATGCAGCATGCAAAGCTTTGCAGCCTACGTAGTGTCGCTTACTTTAATTGTATATGATTTTGTTTTTTAAACTAGCAAAATTCTCTGCACTCGATTTGCAACACTGCAAAAAGTGATCGCTCATTTTTTTTTTTGAAAATAAAAGCTGCACAATTAAAATAAGCTTTTCAATATGAATTGTAGAGCTTTCTATGCTGCATCTTATGGCATATTTTGTATTTTTCATACAATGATTCTACTGAAAAAATTATACAAGAAAAGAGTTTTACTCGAAGGGATTGATAATACATTGCACACCCTTTATATATTACTGTTTTTAACCACTAGGTGATATTTTTATTTAGTTCATTCAATGTATGCACAGAAAAAAAAAACTTTATAATCCACAATGTAGTTATAGCACATAAAAGATGACTATCAATTCTTCTATTTTTCAGAATGCTGTTTGTGAAGTAAATTTGAATAGAGTGGCTGAAAGTAAGTACCTAAATAAAATAAGAAATAGCTGGGAAATATTCTCAAGAAGATAGTAAAAAGAGAAGTTGTACTATTGATATATATTAAGAAACTGTTTTGATCTTGCCCGCACTTATTTGTATCTCTTATAGAAAAGAATGAAAATGTATCTTGTTTATGCAGTAATACCAAAATGGTAATAGGATGACTCACTATAGATTTTGTACATGATAAATATTGTACGATAGTTTCGTTTTGTTACATGTTTTTATGCTTCTGACGTCAACATATTACGCATATGTCGATACCCAACGAACAAAAAGTACGATGAAGAACGTTAGTTATTCTATATAAAAGACATACTTGATGCAGCATGATCAGTCTCACCTACATAACGAACGAAGAAAAGCAATCACATTTCAATGTTTTATTTTTAGAATATGTTTCTTACTATTGTTCTCATCACAATTCTTGTTTCTCTTATTTCTGTCTATTTATGGACAATCAATAATCGTTATAATTATTTCAAACATCGTGGTATTTCAGGACCTTCATATCATTTCTTTTTCGGTCATTACAAAACATTATGGTCAACAAAATCATTTTCGAAACAAATACAAGAATGGACTCATCAATATGGTTCAATTTATGGATTATTTCTCGGTACAAGACCAATGTACGTTATATCAGATGTTGATTTTCTTCAAGAAATTTATATTAAACAATTTTCATCGTTTCATTCACGCATGATTCCAAAAATTTTACGTATTGAAACTGATGGAAAAATTCATCTTTTTCGAGCAACTGGAGAAAGATGGCGTCGTCAAAGACATATTATTAATCCAACATTTTCATCATCAAAACTTAAATTTATGTCTTCTTTAGTAAATGAATGTATCACAACAATGTGAAATAAAATATCTCAAATAACAGATGATAAACAAAAAGAAATTAACATTTATGAATTATATAAACGATTAACAATGGATGTTATATGTAAGTTAATCAATCATATTTACAAATATATAATAAAGAATATATTATTCTAGGTCGTTGTGCATTTGGTATTGATACTGATATGCAAAATGATATTAATAATCCATATTTACAAAAATCAGCTGCATTATTTAAAACAGATATTGATGACCTATTACTTTTTCGATTGGCTAACTTAATACCATTTCTTGCACGTCCTTTACATGATATTGTATTTGGTTTAGGAGATGTTCGTCGAATATTAATGAAATTAATACCAATATTAAATGATTATGTTGAAGAAATTCCAGCTTTATGGTTGATGAATCGTGTTCAAGAAGTTGTTGATCTTCGTATTCAATCATCATCAAATTCAATAAAACGCACAGATTTATTACAACTTATGATGGAAGCTACTCGTGATAATGTTAAAGTAAGTTGTATCCATGATTTGTATACTAATTTTCGACGCATCCATTCTAGGATCATGTTGACGATCCATCAATTACAAAAGCATTACAATCAAATGAACTTATACCGAATATTTTTCTTTTTATGGCTGCTGGTTATGAAACAACATCAACAGCACTTGCTTATTCAACATATATTTTAGCAACAAAACAAGATATTCAAGAAAAACTTGTTGAAGAAATCGAAAATAGCAACTGAAATGATAATAATAATGGAGAAGAAGCGTATGATATAGCAACTAATCTTTCTTATTTAGATTTTTTTGTACGTGAAGTTCTTCGTATGTATCCTGTAACATCTAAAGCAATGACACGTGAGTGTAATACAACAACTACTATTAATGGTCATATCATAGAAAAAGGTCTGTTTCATATAGAATTGATGAACTTATACAAAGTTACATTTCGATTGACCTTTTGTTATAGGTAGTATTATTCAACCTGATGTGTTCACCATTCATTATAATCCAGATTTATGGGGTCCTGAAGACCCAAATGTTTTTTATCCTGAGCGACATTCAGTAAAACGTCATCCCATTGCTTGGATGCCATTTGGTGTTGGTCCGAGAAATTGTGTTGGTATGCGATTTGCTCTCATGGAATTAAAACTATGTTTAGTTCACTTACTTCGTCAATATCGAATATTACCTACCGATAAGATCGAAGAAGGCTTTAAACAAGAAGAACGACTTGTTATTCAACCAAATGCCATATTTGTCAAACTTGAAAAACGTTCAATTTGATATAACTAATTATAACTGAATAGAGATGTATATTTTAAATCTATATTTCATAAAAAAAACCCATTCTTTTCTTCATTTAATAAGATTATTTTTATGAAACTCACTGCAAGAAAATGAACACTTTAAATCTAAACACTAGCTCAGGAGTCTCGTTCTACAGAGAGAACAACAATTGAAAGTAAATCTATTAATTTCATAATCCGTGGTCTAACAAAATAAAAAATGAAGCCATTCAGTACATCAATTATTCGATATTTGTGGTCTTAAGTGTCCAGTCTTTCCCATACTTTTTTTTGTTCACACGATACTCTTATGCGAGTTCTACATTTTAGCCCTATCGCATTCGTATCGACAGACATTTTTCTTTTGAATAAAACTATGACGCTAGATGATTTACCTCTATCGTACGTTAAACAGGTCATCCTAGTTGAATCTGCAGGGAGGAACAAACTGATTTCGTGATTTGAAATGGTTGGATGTGGGTGTGGGTGTGTTGGTAGGTGTATAGGGTGTGGGTGTGGACATATTTCTTTTCTTGACCCACACCCACACCCACACCCTCTTTTCAGCGCTTCTCGAACTTTATCAGGTTTTCGGACGAGATGTAAAATAAATAAAATAAAAACTATATAATTCGATAGAGTAATTGATGCTCTACCCAACTATATCAAAACAAAAAATCTCTGATGTTTTACATGAATACAAGAAACTGCACAAAACTATCAAAAATAACGTAATCAAGCTGTATGAAACACCGAAGTCACAATAAATATCATAATTTTTCCTTCCAGTTTACTATGTAATTTTGTGTTTGATTGTACCGATTTAAAATCCAATGGTTCGAGTATCATCAAATTTACCTTCTGCTCTTGTGTACAATCTGAACGGTTCATAAATCACTTGGTGACTGTATTCAAGTCCAAGATCACATCTAAAACTGACGTTCTCAAATGATACATAGATCTCTGAAGTCCGATAATGACTATTTCAGTAAATTTTTGGCACGTATAATCCGGCTGATAGATGTCATAATAGTTAGCAGAACATGGAAATCTCGACTAAAATGAACTTTTAGTTCTCGACATGTTTGCTGTCTGTGAAACATTCGCTTGTTATCACTATTCTACAAAAATGAATTTCATTGAAAATTCAATAATTCCATAAAAGGATTTTCGTTTCACTCGAAAGTTTCAGACTATGTGAGAATTCATGTGACCTATGTATGTCTGGGCGATATCACAGATCGAAATTCTATTGCTTCGATTTTCATAACATAGCTTGAAATAGATCAGATTGTCAATAGGATGAGCATGAATTCATGCTTGGAATTCATCGATGTAACCGTTCTCTGTTTTCTCTACTCTCATCGAGACTTACATTTGAATCCGATGAGCTTCATAGTGGAAAATATTGTGGTTAATAGTTCTATCTCATAAGCAACCTGATGGAACGGACTTTCTGTTTTTTCCTTGAAAAAGATCGAAAACCAATTAAACACAACCATTATTGTTTACCAAATAAATTCTAGATAAATTGAAAGGGAAAGAGTAAAACTTCGTTTGATAATACTTTTGATTAGGCAACAAAGACTCAACTGCTATGCTACTAAATCTAATAATATTTATTAATTAGTCAAGAAAGATAACTTTGCCTACGTAATATAATCTTCAATAATTTTAAGGCTATGTTTTAATTCTAGCAATATCTTCAGTGTGTATTATGTTCTCAGATGTCCTTTCAAGTAAACTGATCTTGAAAAACGGAGTGAAGCGATAATCAATAATGCTCCTAGTAAGTGTCCAGACAAACATATCTATCATTTCTATACTACTTGAACGTCCGTTGTGCATGACTTCTGGCTTCTTTGCACTGTTAAAATCATTCTTGTGCATACATATTATGCATTAGTTTATTTTTGGCTTGATTAATAGATTGTTTTTTAATACATAAATAGAATATTGTCAATAAATCTCATGCTTTTCTCAACTAAAATTACCGTGCATTCGTTTATATGACATAATAGTAATTTTAATATTTACTAAATTCTTACGCAAAGAATCGTCAGTCGGCTAAAAGTTAACTGCAACAACTATTATGTATTTAAATTTTCTTGTTTGATGAATGAGTCATATCTAAAAGAAAATGTGAATACTTTCTGCCATGGAGAAAAAAAAAGATTCTTTGTTAGAAAAGAACGAGTTGATTACATTTTTTATTGCATTTGTTCTTCTCTAGATCACGAATAACTGATTTTCGTTACGTCTAGTTTTTCATTTCGTTTACTTTTACCTTAATCGTCACAACAATAAAAGATTGAAATTCTGCAAAAGAATCAAAACAAAATTTATATATAGAACTCATTTTCAATATGATGATAAGGTCTAAAAATTTGTATCACTTCTTATAAAATTCTTGAACAAATATCGACGATGATGAATATGTATCGGCTGTCATAAATTTTACATCTGAATCGTTAGGTATATATTATTGTATTAAATGTTGAATGAATTCAATTGAAGTTGATTTCAAATCAAATGTTTCGATTGTTTTAGCTATCTCAGTAGGACTACGTTTATTAAAAACCATAATAATATCAAGAAACATAAAAAAGAACGACCTATTATTGAACAAACAGACTATTTTTTTTCTTTCGTAGTTCTGGAAAATAATTGCTTTCTATTCTTCTTGACAAACTTATGCGATGTCTAGGAGTGTATCTTATCGACCTATCATTTAGTGATGACGATGTGTAATTGTGTGCTATACTGCATCTATTTTATTTACCGAAGAAAGTCACAGGCGTAAGAACGGACCGGTCGTAATGAAAAAGTCACAGTAAAATATATTGATTTGATTAGATCTAAAATAGATGACTAGTGGTGATGAATGTTTACCATTAACCAGGTAACCATGATGTTCCAAAACCTGATGCTGGACCAAATTGAAAAGTAAAATGATTAGGATTTTTAAGAAAACTTTTCTGCTTATAGCAGGAACGGATGCCTCGAGCTAATGAATCGTAAGTCATCACTTGAAAAAGAAAACAAAATGATAATAGAGTTTTGAATCACTGATGTATAAAAATCGAATGAATATACCTGATTTGAACTTGCGACCCTTGACAATCTGCCATAGTTTGGCGACAGCTTCTCCATCATAGAGTTTAAAAATGCCTTGCTTTTTGTCAACATACGCAGCAATATGAACATAATCTTTATTATCCAGCAATCGTCGAAAAAATTGATGTAATAATTTTGGTCGACATAGTTGTCCACTGGATTCATCTATAAAAAACCATTCATCTAGATTTATATATTCCAATTCAGTTGATTTTCGATCTTGACATTTCTTTCGCGATTTTTTTGTGGAAACTGGCAAAGTTGATGGATCATAATCGAATGTAAGTTGTGCATTAATATCCGGTATCATGTGGTTTGTTACAGTTGATCCAAAAGTAACATCTGGATAAAGGTTTTCTTCAAAATCTATTCCAATGATTGGATCCTGATTTCTCTGTTGATATTCAGCAAATTGCGTTTCAACCTGAAGATCAACTGCGATGGAATCAAATTCTGGCTGGTCTGTTAGACGATCAATGTGGAGCAATGTTGATAGCGGCATTGAAGCATCTCCAAGGAACGTTGTTAGATGATCATTCAGTTGTGTTCCTAATGGTGGTTGTTGATCTAACCATGCAACAAGATCATCTATACTTTCAAGCGCTTTTTCTTCATGTGAACCTGTCCGACCAACGTATCCATCGAACACATTCAAGGAAAAGAGACTATTTGGCAATTGAGGGTGTGGGTGTGGGTGTGGGTGTGGGTGTGGGTGTGGGGTGTGAATGTAGGCATGACTGTTTCTTAATACACCCGCACCCACACCCATCCACACCCGCACCAACACACACCCACACCCACACACACCCCCACCCACACCCACTCACACCCACACCCAACAATATTTGGGTGTGTGTGGGCATGGGTATGGCTGTGTTTATTCGTCTCAGTTGGAAATCCAGATACCGACACTCACACCCACATTCCAAACACACACCACACTCCCGTGATAGTTTCTTATACCAACACACGAAGACTTTTAACCGACACTCTTAAATCTCTCGCATTTCGTTATATTCCAATTTTTATCTCTATTTGTCCACTATAAAAGAAACAGCGAGTAAGGAAAACAAGAATATCATCGATATAAAGTAATAATATCATGAGAGAATGGGAAGTTTTCTTTTTGTTGGAAAAAACAGCTTTTCATATGAAGTAGCTGATAAACACATATACAAATAATGATTTTTGCACGATTTTAAAAGTATGATCGTTGTTATTCTTGTTTCATTCACTACCATCAAACCAAAGTTGTAATTCAAGGCATTCTTCTCGATATCTGAAGTTTCGTTTGGTCTTCTTGAGATAGCATATAATTCTTTTCCACGTTTTGCCTAATTCTCCCTTCTTCATAACCCCTCGGTGTGAAAATCTGATACTCCAAAGATCGTGAAACCGATCTACAATAGTCTCCACGAAGTTTGAATTACAATTCTCAAATTCAAGATGTTTTACATTTTGTGGAACTACTGGAAATTCATCATCGTCCTTGAGCCGAAACCGTAAGAATTTAAGAAAAGAAAGATTGCTACATTGCGCAAGTAAAATATTCATTTGATTGATTAGATTTGAACCATGTTTGATATAATCATGGTGATCTATTTCAAGTGTTGTAATAGATGAAAGATTGATTATAGTAGATATTAATTCACACCCAACCGACATCCAATCATCGTGAAAACGAATTTGGAGACGAGTAACATTTGGAAATAACAAAGAACCTGATGTGTTTATCTTAAAAGTAAAGAAAGAAAACAAGTTATGTGATTCGTTGATACGCTAAAAACTTCATTAGATTTATACGTGAAGATAATCGTTTTTGAAATGTTTCAAACTTTGCCTCATGTTGATAATCGAGAGAGGTGCAAATTCCAGTACAGAATTTGACATCTCCAAAAAGCATATGGAACAAAGATTCAATTGGAGATGAAATTTGTTGTACTTCTGACTTCATGACTGATGAAGCATTACATAAAATCAGATGAGAATAAACTACCTGTTGCTGAAGCCATTTTTGAACTATCAGTACTGGTTCAATTTTTGATGAAAAGGCATTAAAATCAAAAATGTTTATTGATGTCATGTTTGACATCATTGGAAACTTCTTTTGTAACACGACCCTAACTAGATCGTTTGATATTGTACTTATTAATTATAAGGCTACTGAACTATGTCATTATCTAAGAGAAGTTCACATGCAAAAAAGAAGGAATTTGCAAAAAAATTCAGAAAAGTTTTGCAACCATACTTGAAAGAGGTAGCAGAAAGAAAACTGTCCAAAATCTGAGTCTTTCAATAATTGAACAATAGTCAGACAAATTAAGCTTTCTTTCGAATGATCTATTATTCAATTGTGACTTTAGAAGCAATATTTTCTAGTCTTCGTTACACATCTTAAGAATAGTGGAGAACAGAGTTAAAAAAGGCACATAATTAATATATATTTTGGCTATGGATTAAATAAAAGAAAGAGATCTATAAACTTTATACTATGTTTCAGTGTGATCGAAGTTTGTTAATTAACCGATATCAAATATAGAAGAATAGTCATCGTTTTTTTAATTTCTTTCTAAACGACTTAACTGTTCAATATCATTTTCGAAAATAAATAAAACGATTTAAATTTTTTTTTTTTTGCCAGAAATTATGAGAAAGAAATCGTGGTCTAAACTATTTATGATCTATTTGTTACATTTCTGATTTGATTATGCACGATATCCTCGTATCTCCTTCGCCGAATCGGTTTGTACCTTCCGGTCTACGAAAAATATACTGTGTGTGTACCAGTGAAAGAAATCCACAATCGAATGTGTGTTTGTACCAGAGAACGCCGCAGGACGAATTTTTGCGTCCTGCCCTGCAGTCTCCATGGTAACAGCGCAGGTTGTCCCGCCTTGCAGGACCAGTCAGTAAGCACAAAAAAATCGCCCTGCGCTGCTCTAAGTGCAGGGCAGGACTGCAGAACCTGCAGGAGACCTTGTTCCATTGAATTTTTTTTCAGAGATATAAAGTTGTCAAAACATTTGATAATATTAATTATAGCAAATTTACTATTCGTAGAAAGATCATTTATCATAATTATCTTAATTAAACTTATCACACGCTTTCTACTAGAAAGGAAATGGACCAAAAGAACTGACACGTATAAAATGAAAAAAAGAACCATAGAATAAGTAGGAGCATAAAGAATTCACAGGTTGATTGACACTAAAGATGAAGCACGATGGTGTAGGTGTGAGTCCTTTTTCAGACGATATTCACATACACTTACACTCAAACTCATAATCACATCGACACCCTTTGAACGTTCTTTTTATTAGAGATGATTTTAAAATGAGTTTGATCTTCGAGCAATACCGTATTTATACCAAGGGAGTAAGTGCAGGTTCCAAGCTCCAAATTATGCTGGATGGTACTGAGAAGGTACTGAGGTGCTGAGAAGGTGCTAAGGTGCTGAGAAGGTGCCGAGGTGCTGAGGTGCTGACAGGTTTTACAAAAGAATATATAAACTCAATCGCTATTATGTGACAGATTGACAGCACTCTCCATTGCATTCATTATTTTTCATTTTAATCTCAATGAACGTTATAAACGTTAAATCAGAAATTTACCCATTATGCGTTACTTTCTAACTTGAGGGTGTGGGTGTGGTGTGGGCAAGGGGGAAAAGACTAATCGGAATGGCTGCGAATGGTTGGGAATGGATCGGAATGTTGGGAATGGATGGAAATGGATAAGAATGGATGGGAATAGATGGCATTGGCTATTATTTAGAGCCACCCTTAGGTACTCAAGTCCTATTATTTAGAAGTGTCCTTAGGTCCTCATTGGCTATTATTTAGAGGTACCTTTGGGTCCTCAAGTCCTATTATTTAGACGTATCCTTGAGTCTTCATTGGCTATTATTTAGAGGTACTCTTAGGTCCTCATTGACTATTATTTAGAGGTATCCTTAGGCCCACAAGTCCTATTATTTAGAGGTACCCTTGGGTCCTCATTGGCTATGATTTAAGGCACTCTTGAGTCCTCATATGCCATTGTACGACTGTATGCTCGGTTCTTAAGTCTTATTAAAATCCCTCCACAGTATATTAATCTATCGTATAATAGAAGCCCATACGGAATGGCAATTCAGTCCGAAGATTATCGCTTTCCAAACATATTAGGAGTCCAGCTATCCCAAATGAGCACAGAACAGATGCTTTCAGAAACTGAGAATTGAACTCATTGCTTCTCAGTATTTAATTATAGATCACTTTTACATGTCTCAATTGGTTTGCTTTGTATACGTTTTCTATCAAAAGAAAAATCAGAAAAGCTAATGCCTTTCGAGTGCTGGGCAATATATACCAATTCGTATTAATATGGCATAGTTGTCCTAGAAGTATTGAAAAGGTTTAACGTATGGAACAACACCGTTCTCTTAGGTCTTTTTTTGTGAAGAAATCATGTACAGCTCAGAAACCAAATGATGCAAACTTATACTAATTTTTGTGGCAATATGCATAAACCTTTCACCGAAAAATAAAGTTTCTGAAGAAACTTAAGTATAATTGATACGAATTATGCACGAGTTCATCACACTTGAATAACAATGTCAGTGTGGAATCCTACGATATAAACTATCATAATAGTCAGGATTCTGAACTATCCACCTCTCGAAAATGGGTGGTCCTTGCTTTATAGTTAACGGATCACTGCATATTTCTCTGGCAGTACGTAAAATATATCCCTTTCCGTATCGGAACTGTGCATAGGTTTCTATGATCCTTTGTACTTGTGTGCTAATTGAATCTTAATGGCAGCTTGAAAAACAACGATTACAAATAGAGCACCTGCGTAAACTTATAACTTTCACAATAGAATAAAATCTCACTGAACTTTTATTGCAGAGAGACGGATGGCGGAAGGATTAACAGAGCATCAGGACCTAAGAGCACTTCTAAATAATAGCACATGGCGGGTCAAGAGTATCTCTAAATAATAGGACATGAGGACCTTAGAGTACCTCCAGATAGTAGCATATGAGGACCTGAGAGTACCTCTAAATAATAGCCAATGAGGACCTAAGGGTACCTCCAAATAATAGCCAATGAGGATTCAAGGACACCTCTAAATAATAGGACTTGAGAACCTAAGGGTACCTCTAAATAATACCCAATGAGGACCTAAGGATACCTCTAAATAGTAGTTCATGAGGACCTAAGGGTACCTCCCAATAATAGCATATGAGAACCCGAAGGTATCTTTAAATAGTAGCCCATGAGAACCCAAGACGTATCCCAAATACAGAGACTTCAGGACCCGAGTACCCTCCAAAGAATAGGTAAATGAGGACCCAGTCGGACTGGGGCCCAATCTACTGGAACTGGTGTATCCCTAGATGGGAATGGATGGGAATAGATGGGAATGAATCGGAATGGATCGGAATGGATGGGAATAGATTGGAATGAATCGAAATGCATCGGAATGCGTGAGAATGGATGGGAATGGGTGGGAATG